ATCTCGTCTCGAGATGGACTGGATTTGAGTTGGGGGCAATTGCTATCAACTTGAGCATGCTGTGGGGACTGTGGTCATGGCCCTAAAGTGGGTTTACCACCGTGTTTGAGTTTTTTGTTTGTTTGTTAAAACGTCTGGCCTGTGAAGTGCTCGGTGAACCGAGGTGGGTTCGAGATGGGCGATTGAACGAGGTGGGGGGGGTTGAAGTCTCTCGTGGGCGCAGGGAGGGAACGTGGTGGGCTCGTCACACCCAGCGCAGCCGCTTCACAACAAGAGAGACAGAGCGAGAGAGTGGACAATTCATCAATGACAGAGAATCATAAATTGATCGCAGAAACATAATTAACTCCCAAATGGCTCCGTAAAAGAAAGCAATCCTTACAACGCATCATCGGGATTCACTCCTCGGTGGGGGGGGGGGAGGGTGGAGGGGGCATTTCCAATTTGCGAAATATAATCAACGGTAACATTATTAAACAAAAATAACAAAACCGGGAGAGTTTTAAAACAACACGACACGAAAAGACACCGAAACATTTTGGAGCACGCGGCCAATTCCACAGCGGAGGGAATTCAAAGTTGACGGCAGCTCACACACGAATCGTCCCACCACGACCACGACCACCCACCCACCAACATCTCTCCGCGAGGAATTATTAAGGCTCCTCTTCAGTCAAGGGCCCCCCCCCCCCCCATCTCTCCCGCGTGGTCCACAGTAAGCGGGCGAAACCTGTCCGTTCCTTCTCCACTGCCGGCCTCTCTATCCCGCGAGCTGCCGAGGTGCCAACGAAACGTCGGGTGTGGGGGTTAAGGGGACGCCAAAAGAATGGGATTTGGGGGGGGGGGGGGGCACAAAAAATGTCCAGGGTGGCGTCTCTCTGCTGCGTCACTGGAAGCTGTCACGGGGGGGAGGGGGGTGACCATCGCCGGGGGGTGTTCAAAACGTTACTCCACTGCTGCACTGCACCGATCAACGGCGCAGGCTGAACACCACGTGGAACGGCAAGGGGGGGGGGGCGCAGGTGGGGGAGTGGATGAGAGTGAGAAGGGGAGTGGATGAGAGTGAGAAGGGGGAGTGGATGAGAGTGAGAAGGGGGGTGGATCAGAGTGGGGTGGGGAATTCGTCAACATCGTAACGATCGTAATCGCTGTAGCACTGTCGTTATATAATAATGGGTGAATTCACGCAGCTGCGCTGTTGCACGCGGCGAGGCCGGGTCGAGGTCACGGGGGTTGGCGTCCTCACCGCCACCGCCACCCCCGGTAATACTTTCTGAACTCGGGATCGACCAACAATTAAACCCGCTTCACGAGGGCTTTGGGCGCCACCATTCCCCACTCCCCCCCCACCAGGGCCGGCTCGAGGGTTGACGGCTCGCGCAGGGACGGGGGTCGCGGTGGGTGGAAGGCCTCTTCCGCCCACCGACACACCATCCACCACCACCCACCACAACACCACGAGGAGGTAAAGGTTTATAGATTTTACAAACGCGTCAACCCCCCCCCCCCCGAGCGCCCGAATTGATTTCCCCGAGTTCAAACCCCCCACGTGCCCAGGGTGAGTCCCAATGGCAACTAACCGAGCAGAGGGAGAAGGTGCCGACTGCTCTGACTACGAAGCACCAGGGCCACACACGCACACATACGCGCGCACGCTCTCCCATACAGCACGCACTCTGCCACTCACTCACTACCAGTACATGGGACAAAGATCGCCCGTACATCGCCTTAGAGATCGAAGTGCTATTGGCCAGTACCCACGAAAGGCCGGTGAGGGGGGGGGGGGGCAGAAGCACCAGGTGGTGGCTGTGTCCTGAACGCCCCGGCCGCCTTTGTCTCCCCAGTGGCTGATGTTTTACACAGCACGCCTGCGACTAATTAACAGGCGAGTATAACCGACCGGCAGAGTCGGGACCGATTTGGATGGCGCGCTCGCCACTGCTGCCGAGCCACTGCACGCCACATTCCGCACGCACCCACACCATGAGCCACTCTCGCTTTCACACTCTCACTCTTTGACCAGCGATAATGCCTAGTGCTCGGAGAGCCAAACTAAGGCACCCTTTTTGTTTAACACAACGGCGAAGAACGAAGAGCGGGGCGGGGAGTCGGGGGGGTGGTGGAAATGCCGGAGAACACCAGGGGGACCTCACACGCTCGAGCCCACCCCCCCGATCGTAAGGGGGGGAAAACTATTCCTTTGGATCTGGCAACACGGGGCCGGCCGTGAGCAGCCTTCCAAGGCCGCAGCCACCGATGCCAACAGCCGCCCCATTCGCCACGGGAGCGACGGCGGTGCCACCACGGCGGCGGTGTCAGGGGGCCAGGCGAGCGCTCTGAGGCCACGTGGAGGTGTCGCAGGCTCGCTGGCTGTCAGGGAGGTCACGGGGACAGCAGCCACAGGGTGGCCCATGGGTTGACCGACTGAGATGACTGGCAGATCCACCCGGCTCTGCCCCCTACTTTGACACCGCCACCACTAAAAACCACCGCCGGCGCAACCGCCGATCGGCGCCCACGTTGATCGACAAACCCCGCCCGCCCCCCTCGTGGCTTCGTCTCATCTCGACCCGCGAATCTGGACACGTTCCCACGACACGCTGAGCAACGCCAGAGATGTTACATCGTTTGGTGGGGTGGGGGAAGAGAGACGGGGGGGAACGCGATATTCGATGAGACGCAGCTCAAACACAGACCGAGTGCACCCCCCACCCGCTCCCACCCACCTCTCCACCACACCACCTGCTCAATCGCACCACCAGCGAGGGGGCCCAATCGCACGCGTAAACATGTTTACATACCTGGCAGCCGAACCGTTTATCACAGAGCGGCGGCACAACGCTGTCCGCAGCACGAGGGGAACCCGCCCGACAACACAACCGACGAACGGCGTCCGAAACCCAGAGCCCGGTCGCGGAGCGGCAAGATGATGGTCGAGGGGCCCCCCGAGCGGCGGGCAGCGACGTCCCCCGGCCGTCACGTGGGGCACTCCAGGGAGATGGGGGGGGGGCTGCTCTTCCATCATTGCAGTAACCGACTGAACTAAAAAAATCGGCCGCATACGCTCGTCCCAAAAAAATTCCGCCACGAGTTGTTTTTTTTTCACGCGGGGGAAACCGCGTCCCTTGCGCGACGTTCACCGTGCGGCAGAGGGCCAGAGCCCCCCGTCGAAGATTTCATCAGCGGACAAACTAAACCGTCCGGCCCCTTTTTCGGCGATTCGCAAAGCCCACGCTGCGAAACGGCGCGGAGGGGATTTCACCGCCAAGTTTGCGTTGCCGCCTGCCGTGACTTTCTTTCCCGCCCCAGCCCCCCCACACCCCCCCCCGATTTGATCCCGACTTGACATTTTGTGAAGGAAAAAAAAACTTCGTTGAGCTCATCGGATTCTTCCAGTCCAAAGCAAGATTTTGATTGTGAAAAAAAAATAAAACCACGCAGAGCCGCAGCCTCCGTCGCTGTACAAAGCAGCCAAGGCCGCCGGCTCTCGTGCCGTCCGAATGTTCGAACCTGAACCACCTCAGTGGTGGGTGGGCTAGAATCCCCGGTGTGGGTGGCCACGCCAATTCCAATTCTCACGCCGGTGCCGGAGGGAGCGCGCCGGGTGCCGACCGCAAGCAGCCTCTCCAGAACCGTTTAAACACAATTTTTTTTTTTTTGCTAAAAAGGGATGCTCTCCAGCCTAAATGTGGCGGTAAAAGTACAAGCGAGGTTTGATTCGGGACTGGTGGTGGTTGTGGTGGTGGAGGGCAGTGGTGATGCTATGGGAAAACCACAGGGGGCCTCTACCCAACCCCCCCATGATGAACTTAAGTGACCCCCTACCCACCTACGCCTGCGTGCCCCCTCCCCAATCGGAGGCATCCCGCTCCTAGTCCGTGGGCCACACAGAAAACATTGGTACCAACCGAGGTCGCAAACGACGTTTTGCGGGGCCAATTTATTTATACGGCGGCCAAAGCCTCAATTATTGGATGACCCCACTCGAATCACGTGGTTGTCGCGTAACTCGCCGTCATTGGCAACACGCAGAGGTTACAACTTGCCAAGTGACACCCAACCACCACGGGCGGTAGCGACAAGTTCGAGACCCGATCTGGGGTCACGGACGAGCTGGGTGGCGGCCGGGGACGCGCACTCGAGCCTCTCACCATGGCCAACGCCGCTGCGGCTGCCCACGCCTCGCCACCGCTCCCTTCCTTCTGCCAGACCCCGCCAGCGGCTGCACAGTCGACGCCCGAGGGCAGTGCTTAAGTCTCAAGTGACCCGTATCGTTGTACGGGTGTGGCTATTATAGGTAGCATGAACATCCACTGCTGGATCAGGGCCTTTCCATGCCGGTCACGGTGGTGGGGAGTGGGGGCTGTTAATCACCGTACTTCTTCACCACGCTGGTCAGTGCGGGCTGGTGAAGGGCAGAGGACAGCATAGACTCGACAGCACAGAAGTACAGTACAACAACGGATCGTGGCCTCATCACCCACTGCCGCCACAATGCATCCATCCACGCGGATGCGAGGGGTGACGGGGGGGGGGTGGCGAGGGTGACGGAGGGGTCGCGGAGGTTGTGAGGGTGGCGACAAGGGTGGCGACAAGGGTGGCAGGGGTGGAGAAGTTTGCGAAGTTTGTGGAGGTAGCGAGAGGTGGCGGCGAGGGTGGCGAGGGCGGCAGAGCGAGACGCGCCGCGTACATCTGGCGGCGCGATCCACGGCGTCGTCCTGGTCTCCGGCGAGGCGGGCGAGCGGTGGACGTCGGAGGCGAGCGGTGGACGTCGGTGGCGAGCGGGGCAGCCCCGGCATGGGTGGGCGACTCTCTCGCAGTGAGAGAGGCGCAAGGTCAACTCCGAGCCGCGGGCACCGGAACCCGGCAGGGCGGTCCTGCTAATCTCTTGAGGGTTTTGTACACTTTGTAAATGTATATAGAAGTAATATGATTTCCGCTTTGCGTGTGGGGTTTTTTTTTTCATCAATTATTTTATAATGCACACGCTTTTTTCTTGCTGCTGCTGCTGCTCTGACCGTCGTTTCACTTGTAATTCGTCACTGTAATTATTTATATATATATGCGCGCACACACGCACTCGCACTCACACACTTACATATATATATTTTTTTGATTCAAACTTTGTAAAAGATGTGGAAAAAAAATATGCAAAAGAAAAAAATAAAATACGTAATAACGGGAATGCAGAACGTAACGCGGCCCAGGCCTCGTGGAGGTGGAGGGTGGGGGCGGACGGCTCGGGTTGGGTGGTGTGCGCACCGTAGTGGGGGGAGGGGGGCTCGTGGGGGGCTCGCGGTGGGGGGGGGGAACGGGTCCTGTGTGTGGGGGGGCCCCCCCTTCCTCGCCCAGGCGCCTGCGCCCTCCTCCTGAGTCGGCCTGCGCTGGCGCTTCGTCCTCACGTCACATGAACTGCATCTGTGGCACAAGCGGAAAGGGAGAGAACGTGTCGCTCACTGCCCCAGCTCGCCCGCTCGTTCGCCCGCTCACCCGCTGTGTTACTCACCCCCGCTCACCCAAGTCCATACTCGCCATCACACTCGCGCACTCGTTCATTTCCTTGTTCGGTAACCCAGCTGTTCAAGACCCCCTTCTCGATCACTCTCACCCACTCGTCCTATACTTAACTCCCTTGCTCACTCACTCACTCAACCATCCACGAATTCCCTTTCACCCAACCACCTCCTCACTCACCCATTCATCTATACACTCGCTCACCCATCGCCCACTCTCTCACTCAACCATCCACTAACCAACCCAAGGTTACTGTAATTCAAGGACCCTTGACATTTATTATTAAATATAAAACTACAATTAATATTATTAGGGGACTTTACTGACATGTCACAAAGTCATAATTCAGTGCAGGGCCATCCTGAAAATGCATTTTGAGACTCAATGAGGCTCTCCGATAGACAGATAAAGAGCAATATTAAAAGTATTATTATCATGGTGAAAAACATCACAAGCTAAGGTTAGGGAGGATGGGTGAGATGAGGTTAGAATCCCTGCCAACACAACACCAACAACAGGGCACATCCGAGGGCAGTGCAGATGGGAGACACCACTGCCGCCACCACCACCACCACCGACGATATTACCGCAAGAATAATCAATTAACAGGATAGCAAGGCTTATCAGGGGAAATAAGGTTAATGAGTAAACCCCCAACATGGGGACCCCACACCGAGAGGACGGAGACTCTGTGCAATTGTGCTGTACGGGCTCTCAGTTGTATTTTCGGGTTGTTACCACAAGGTGCCCGTTCCCCCTCCTTCATTTAATTCCCCAAGAAGATTCACAGCAGCTGGAGCGAAGGAGAAGAAGCAGGACATCGTGCCGAACTACTTACGCGCAGTACAACCCAAAAGCACACGCAAGAGTTTTGGGGCAAGTGCTGTTAGCGAGCACTTATCTTATCTGATTTTATATTTATAGAGCGCCTTAGCCCGGCGGCACATGAGGAGGTGGGTGGCCAGCACCACGGCCCGGCTGCCTTTGCCTCCATAGTATCGATGTTTACACACTGCACCAGGTACTCATTTGAGGCCGAGTTAAGCTAGGGGAGGCCCAGGACCGGTTCAGATAATCGTCACAGGGTGTTTGGTGGCCGTGAGCGGGATTTGAACTCGGGTCGCCGGGTTCGTAGGCTCAGCTCGCTAACCGCCACGCGAACGCTCCTCCCGAGACAGACAGACACGCGCGCACACACAGCTTGGCACTTCAAGGACAGCGCTCGCTGCCAAACAACGATCGTGGGGTCTCCCGACGGCAGAGGTCGCAAACGGGTTTTGATTCCTTACCCGTACCCTACCCGAAATGAGTGACAAACGGTGACTCACCAGTGACTCACGGCCTACCCGTACCCGGCTGCACCAGGGTCGCAAACGGGTACCCGTACCTGGCTGGGTACGAGTAGCCGGGTAGGGTACGGGTATCGTGTACCCGGTTGCGACCTCTGCCTGACGGCTGTCGCTACCAGGGTCGCCGCGATATAATTTTTGCACAACGCCGACGTTCACGGAACGACGATCGTGAAATCCGGTGCCTATAACTTGTGTACTTGTAGCTCGCATAATTATCGCACCGTGCTTGTGCTTTGCCGTGCTTCCAGTACGCATAAGGACGGCGTAAAATTTATTCGACTGCAACGCAAGCCCGCTACGAGCCGGCGAGCAAGTTTTGCTGGCTGGGGTGGGCAAGCACAAGGTGGTGACACCCCCCCCCCCCTACTCCGACCAGCCTGGCCATCTATCCCGTGCAAATGCGAGGGGCGGCGCGTGTGAATTTTAAACGTGCTTGGAAGGCGATACAAATGTCAATGAACATATATACGAAATCGGCAAACGAGGTTCACACGATACGACAATGCTTCGGCGAGACGGACGATACGATCACCGGGGGAGGCTTGGTCTCGTACGATACGCTGCCGCATCGCCGCCGTATCACAGGCAGCCCTGGGCTGTCATAATCGGAATCTTTTATGCTGCATATTAAAAAATACAAATTTGCAACGACAAATCATGACGTTACGAAATGTTGCGACGAGCACACGGTACACGATCGCGGCGATTCTTAACAGCAGCGAGGCGCGTCGTGCCAACCCTCTAAATCGGAATCTTTATTTACACTTCAGGAGGAATCCGATGAGCTGTAAAGCTCTTTCATCACATACGTCCATTGAGGGGCGCGGGGTGAGAATGTTACAGCAACACAATGAGGGTGGAGACCTCCATTCCACCCCCCCCTCCCACTCTCACCACCTGAGACCCACAGTGGTTCAGGGAATATACATAGATGGCACCCTCCCCCTTTTAACGGCTCTTATCTCTAACCATTATTCACCGATTTCGGGCAATAAGTGAAAAGCACACTTAGTTTAATTATTTAGTAGATAATTAATCCTTGCCAACAGATGCTCAGCTCTGCTGGGATTATATAATTTCCTGTCATCGCGTCATTTCCTGTTGGCCGAAACTCTTTTCTGAAGAGGTCAAGGCTCTGTGTGTTAATGGAGGCTGGTGAAATACTGGGAGAGTGTTTAGGAAACAGCTGAAACTATTTGTAAACTTTCTATTCGTTTATTTTACCAGGTAAGGCCCACTGAGCTATTCAGAAGCGACCTGGCCACAAATGATAGCTCAACTTAGTGGCTTATCATGTGGAAATTTATAGCGATTGCATAACCCTGAATGCATGTTTATGAATGCGGAGATAAAAACCGGAGGACCGGGAGAAAAATCCACGTGACCACAGGGAGAGATATACGTGCAAACTCCAAATATACAGCAGGAGGCATCAGGGTCGGGTTCAAACCCACGATCTCCTGTATACCAGGCGAGGTAGTTAACATATCCTAGCCACCATGGCGCCCAGCTGCAGATGATGGGATTAAGGACTCAATCTGGATCATCAAACATTGAGCATAAACTCTGTTGCTACAGAGGCTGAGGAGAGCTTCCAGGATGGACCATTCCGGAGCGCCACTTTCATCGCGCATTTGAAACGTTTTAATGCTTTGCAACTAAGAAAGCTCTCCGTGCATCAGCGTGTAATTGGGAGGGGGGGAGACGTAACAGCTGCCGTGAAGACGAACGAATATGAACAAAACTTAAATCTCATTCTTTGGTTCTTTCGGTAAAGTCACGTATAAAGATAAAATACTAAATTAAATAATCGCATACGACGTTTCGATTGCAACACATGCAATCATCATCAGGTATAAATGAAATAGCAACAAAAATCTAACCAGAAAACTATAGACAGACATATAAGCAGACAGATATCAACAAGATACATAGAGAGAGTAACACAGGTACAGAGAGGGAGATCGTCTCTGTGGCGTGGCCTTAAATAGACAGAGACGATTTCCCTCTCTGTACCTGTTTAACTTTCTCTATGTATCTTGGTGATATCTGTCTGCTTATATGTCTGTCTATAGTTTTCTGGTAAAATTTTTGTTGCTATTTCATTTATACCTGATGATGATTGCTTGTGTTGCAATCGAAACGTCGTATGCTATTATTTAATTTATTATTTTATCTTTATACGTGACTTTACCGAAAGAACCAAAGAGTAATTCCTGCAGTCACGAAAGCTCCAAAATTAAGACTTAAATCTCAATTTGCATTGCTATTAGGGACTTGGCCAATAGAAGACGCAGCCACATTAATCAAAGGACCGTCCACAATTTGGCGACTAAAAACCCAGCGACGAATAGGGACTGACGAAACCGGCACTAGTTTCAGGTGCGCACCTCCCCTTCCTCCCCAGCGCAGAGGTCATCGCGTGTGCCGCTATGTCGTGATGTGACATCGTCTCGTTGAAACGTTCACGTTGTCAGAATTTTTATTTCTCCCGGAGAAATCCGACGAGCTATGAAGCTCTTTCGCACAGATGTCCAGTAATTATCGCCGACTAAATGCTCACGAGGACATGCGGGTCCTGGAAACCTGACAAGAGTCCACGCGGCGCACGTGATTTTTCTTCCACGGTCCGTCAATAATTCGGCTTCGAACTCGTGTGCAAGCGTGCGCCTCCGATCTAACGTCCATCCGGCCTGTCGGCTCGCGTGCGTACGGCCATGGACGGCCACCGTACGCCAGCGTTGGGAATTGTGGCGGGCACAAATGTAGCCGCCGTGTCTGCCGGAGGAGAAACCAGCGGGGGGGGGGGGGGGTGGGTGGCACATCGGCCGCCGTCGGCCGAGGGCCCCCGACATCTGGCGGTGTTTGTTTCCGCGAGTGCGCAACGTGTTTGCGCTCGTGAGATCTCCGGCAAAAAAAAATAACAACCAGGGGCCCCGGGTGGGCAAAGTGTTTGTGCTAGGCACACAGCACATACATAGGAGGGCGGGCGGTAGGGGGGGCAGTTAATATTTGGATGTGGGTGGTCAGTGACGGGCAATGGGGTGGGTAACGCCCGCAGCCGGGTCAAAGATGCGAGGGTGGCAGTCGCGCACGATGGCAGGCAGTCACGCACGTGTACAGAGGGGGAGAGACACAGAAGGGGAGAGACACAGAGAGGAGACAATCGGAGAGAGAGAGGGGGCAGTCACAGCCAGAGAGAGGTCAGTCGCACAGACAAGAGAGAGTGGGGGCAGTCACAGAGTGGGCCATCCGTGCCGTTGGTACGGTCAGCTGGGTAAGTGGCGCTCAGCGCCAGCAGCAGTGCGAGACGCCGCCCATACCTGCTGTGGCGAGGGCTCGTTATAAGAAATCCTGGATGGAGAGGCCTGAGGAGGACGAGGATGAGGGGGGGGCTCCCGTGCGGGGGGCTGCTGGGGGTGGCAAAGAGACGTCTGGGACAGGGAGACGGGAAACTACGCGGCGGAGCGACGCGGGGTCGCGGGGAAAGGGCAGGGCGAGAGGGGGTGGGGGAAGGAAGGATGGAGCAGCGCCTGGCAACGGATGGCAGGGCAGCACGGGCCAAGGCGGCAAAGGGCAGGCCGAGAGTGGAGGGGGAAGGAAGAGGCGGGGGTAGAGAAAGGCAGGGCAGGGCGAGGTGAGGCGAAGAAACGTTGAGGTGCGAAAGAGGAGTGGGCGTGGGTGCGCGGGCGAGCGAGCGAGCGAGCCAAACGAAATAAACGCCGTGCAGGGCACGGGCGGGGGGAGGTGGCGAGACAGGTGGAGGACGAGGGTAGAAGTTGTAAAAAAAAAGTCAAGCGTGCAAAGCGATGGATAAGCAGAGATGCGAGTATGGCACACACGTACAGGATGGGGAGAGAGAGAGATGTAGTGAGGGCAGTTCCAGCGAGACTAATTTTTCACAAGCAACCCCGTAAACGCGTGCACGCTCAGACACGCACGCACGGACACGCACGCAGTACAAAGACTCAGACGGACAAATGGCAAGTCACCAATTACAAGCAGGAAAAATTGATCCACTTAAATGACAAAAACATTCAACCTCCTCCTCCATGACCGCATGTAAAATATATCATTCTTTCATCCGTGGAAAGCGCAGTGCAAGTGGGTGGAAATGTTGTCGAACAAATGTGTTGCCACGTCCTACAAACGTATCAAATTATTATTCTGAGTTGTAAAAACTTGCCCAATATAAAGGTTTTTTTTTTTTACCCGCCACGATGGTGGTGGGTTAACGACACATTTATATTTACACGATCTCACCGAAAAAAACATCCCCCCCCCTCCCCCCCCCTATTATGGATATTGGTTGTGAAATGCCAAAGTGTGTGAATTAAGCCACCTTTATTTCAGGGCGTATATATTTTTTTGTAATCGAGGCGAACATCACCCCCTACCTTTAATAACAAAAAAATGCATTTATTTGAACAAATAGCCGCAAACTGGAGACTCGGTACGCGTGCTGCTTGAGTGCGCTGCGGTGGCTAGGAGATGTTGGCTACCTCGCCTGGTACGCAGCAGGTCACGGGTTCAACCCCGACCCTGACGCCTGCTGTATATTTGGAGCTTGCGTGTCTCTCTCTCTCTCATCATCATCACGGTGGCTAGGAGATGTTAGCTCGCCTGGTACGCAGCAGGTCACGGGTTCAACCCCGACCCTGACGCCTGCTGTATATTTGGAGCTTGCGTCTCTCTCTCATCATCATCACGGTGGCTAGGAGATGTTAGCTACCTCGCCTGGTATGCAGGTCGTGGGTTCGTTCCAGACCCTGACGCATGCTGAAAATTTGGAGTTTGCGTCTTTCTCTCTCTCTCATCATCATCACGGTGGCTAGGAGATGTTAACTACCTACGCCTGGTACGCAGGAGGTTGCGGGTTCGATCCCGACGCCTGTATATTTGGAGTTTGTGTGACTCTCTCCCCGTGGTCGCGTGGATTTTCCAGGTCCTCCTGTTTGTTCCTCCACATTTAGAATCAACACGCGTTCAGAGCATTTGGCTGCAAATAAATTTCCACGTGATATGCAATTTTGTTGTGCGATCAATTTTGATTGCCAGGTCGTTTCTCAAAAAACAGCTGTGCAGCTCAGTGGCCATTTTACCTGGAAAAATGAGAAGTTTCGAGTTCATAGCCAGCGGCGCAAGACAAAAATCAAACGGCGCTAACCGTGTCGATTACGACGCGTGCAAACGATTCAATGGGGATTTAAACGTTCCCCGACCGTGAAAAACCTCCGCTCACAAGGCGACGCGCCACGACGGTTCGAGACGCAGACCCCCCCACCGCTCTGCACGGCGAGCTGTAAGCCGCAGCAATATGCCGCTGTGTGGTCTTCGCCCGTTCATGCGACCGACGCTGCCAGAGTCAGGCGAGCCGGTCCTGCCGCATCTATCGCCGCGTTACGGATGATGTCGTGTGCCACTCGACTCCGACCAGTTGCCACTGCCAGCGCACGCGGAAGGAATGCCAACAACCCACTGGAGTCGGATTGCGGAATAGTCTGAGTGTGTTGGCACCATGGGGGAAAGATTGCCATCGCGCGTGGAGATGACTTTTAATATAATATTTACTGGTGAGATTCTTGCTTTTTCTACACGCTTTCTTTAAACTCACTCTGTTGTTGTTGTTGAATTCTCAAATCTTGTAACTCAATTTTAACCCACTTTCCAATGTGGTATCGACTGCAAACTATATTCTATTAGAAAAAATATATATTTTTAAACATTCTTTTTTATATGTTGTTTCGGCTTGGGTCTAATTGTCCACGCTCAACTAACGTTGGCTGTAATTGGCCACGGTCCCTTACGTTGTGGCAAGCTTTGAGGCCACTTCCTGGAGTCGTGGAGTTCTGCCATTACTCGTACGGGACATTTCATTAAAGCGTGTTTTTAAAAAAGTTTGTTTTAAATATTACTTATTTATCGAGAAAGCTTCAAATGTGCCACTTCATTGAGCTGTCATTTGTGGCCAGGTCGCTTCTGAAAGGGAGCTCATAGCTCGGTGACTTTTACCCGGCAAAATCAGAAGTTGGGTTTAGGTGTATTTATTTTTAGTGACGAGCTGACCTTTCCCGTGCTTTGCACTCTGATCGTTTCTTTTAGTATTGTTTGTTGTTGTAAGTTTCCGACCCGTCCCTGCTGGACATTACAATGCGAAAAAGTGCTTCATAGGCTCGTCGGATTTCTCCAGGATAAATAAAGATTCTGATTCTGATCCTGGCGCACAAAGCTCTCACAAAGGTGAGAGCTATTTGAACATTTTCGGGGGTGCATCTTTGTTTATGGCCGCACCCTGTGGGTGTGTGCCCTTGCGAGTGGAGCGCTGACGCTGGGCCAGACCACAGACTTAAAGATCAAATTACCCGGAAATGCGCCTGATCCAAGAACTTCGGTCATCCTCGCAACAGCAGCAGCGGATTTTGGCCGGCCATTGAACAAAGACGGTGGACACAGCATCATCATCGCGCGGCGCTTTAAGATGCGCTTCTGCGGCCGTCTGGAACGCTCTTCCTTCCGATATTATGAAGCCACTACGAGCCATGCACTTTTTAATCTAGATAGACAAACTCATTTCTCTAGAACAGCTTTTTGTGCGTTTAGTTTATTGTCCTCCCTCCCCCCCAAACCTCCGATGTGCACGGTTGGCTATGTACGGTGCAAAAGAACTTCAATATACATACAAGTAAACAGGGGTTGAGCTGGTCAGTGCTTATGCGAGTTACCACTGTGTACACAGGAGTTGTGGGCTGCCGTAGTGCTACGTTGTGGGGCAGCAAAGGGCATTGCTGCGAAAATGCATTGTTGTACTACTCTGCTACGCTCCCACGTCTACGCTCATCGCCCCCATACCTCCGATTCGCACAGTTGGCGGCTACGTACGGCGCGAAATAAGTTCAACATACGTTTCTCGCACGTACACAGAATTCGTGCATTGGTTTTCGGGGGCTACTCGCAATCAGAATCAGAATCTTGATTTATACTGGAGGAATCCGATGAGCTACAAGAAGCCCCTTTACGCAGATGTCCAGTAATCTGAGAGTGGTGCACACGTGGCAACAGGGGGTGAGAGAGACTCCTCCCCCAAACCCCCTCATCCCTCCCCCTCCCCACCGCCCCCCACAAACGATAATCGCGTAGCCCGATTCGTTGCGTAATTGAACCGACAACTTCGTAAGAGTAATCGAATGGAGTCAAATAATTGGTAGGTCCAAGTGAGTGCACGGGCGGGCGACGCCTTGTACCTGTTGCGTCCCAGGCACGGGCCCGAAGGGGTTGGTCGGCCGGACTCCGGGCTGAGCGAACAGCATCGGCTGCTGGCCCATGACCGGCACTCCCACCATCGGCACACCCATCTGCAGGAGCCGCATCACCACCACCAACCACCACAACCACCGTTAACATCGTCGCCGTCGTCATCGCCACACTATCATCGTTATCAACAGCCGCGATCGCTTCGTTGCTGGATTAAGGCCTCTCTCCCCGACGCAAGCCACCATGCCCCCATCCCCGCCGCGTCTCACAGCCACGCGATGATTCCGTCGCTCCAACAACCACGGTGGACGTACTATCAGGTGGGTTCCCTCTCTTCGGCTGCACCACGATTACAAGTCACCATCGCTGCCCACCGCCCATGGCGTTTTCGCCATCGTCGTGACATCATTACCAGAGCTTCCATCGCCACGCTTACTACCAATATCAGCACCAGTCAGACATTTTTAGTCCGACATCTGCGATCCCCCCCCATCTCTTATGATGTTTTCAGACAATGAACGGGTGCTCACACACGTGGGAGGAAAACGGAGCAGCCGGAGATAAACCCACGTGTGCGAGGGGGAAACGCTCTATCCCATAGAAATCGAACAGGTGGCGTTATCCTGGCAAGCCAGGTTACGGCTGGCTCCACAATGCCCACGGGACAGAATTTTCACAACATCTGTGCAATCCACCAACCCCTCTCGCGCCTCCACACAGCGCTGGATTCACATGCGCGAGACGCCACCGCTGCCAGCTTAAAACGTATCGGCCTCGCGTTCAACTCAGGACTGCCGGCAAGGGGTGGGGCAGGCCGGTAGAGGAGTGGGCATGGTCAGTGATCAGTATCAGAATATTTATTTATGCCGGAGGAATCCGATGAGCAGTCGGGGCTGGTAAGAACGTTACAACAACAGCGTCTGCCACGCGGACAGACAACGGGAGATTGAATCGGAATCGTTGCACCGCGTGCTGTGGCAGTACCCCCGATCAACTCGCACACGAATGGCGAAGTGGGAAAATCGCTAAATCATAGGCGGGCTGCGGGCGTGGCGGTCGCGAGGGTCGGAACAGCCCCTGGCTCTCTGAATGCAATCATTCGTGTGAACGCTTCTGCTGCTGCTGCTACTGCTGGGCAGGTGCAGGTGACACTGCCCGATGTTTGCGACACATGGTCCGAGTGCCCACACAAGTGGTGACCATTTCCAGGATTCCCAACCCAACCCTCTCACCCTCCAGGGGGTGGGGTGGGGGGGGGGAGGCAGCTGGGACCGACGGGACACAAAGCGCCGCTCTCGCTCGGCTCGACTCGCCCCGACGACCGCGCCGGGGCCACCGCGATCGTTTGTTTAGCACTACGACGGCGCGGGCGACCGCAGCGTTTGCTCAAAACCACCCGGCCACTTAAAATCGATCGCCCCGGAGACCGGGAGGCGCGCTCCACACTCGAGCCCGCCACTCGACCCGCACGTCACTCACCACCAAGGGGGCCACAAACACAACAGCAGCTAATACACAGAACAGTCCGCAAACGACGACCCGTGATACAAGAGCCGACGTTACACAACGATGACGACGTTGTTGTTGTTGTCAATACAAACAAGGGCGGCGGCGGCGGCCAACACGGAAAGCCGGCGGGGAGGAGAGGGGATTTCCGAGAATTTGTTTGCGTGCGGGATTTTTGATAGGATCTGCACAAGACACGTACACAAGCTTACGGCCGTACGCACGGATGAGCCGGAAAGCACCGCCCCCATAAGCCCAATTAATGCCCCCCCCCCCCGCCGAGCGGGGGACGACAGCGCTTCGGGTGGCGGGGACGATCCACGCGCGCAAACGGCGTTGCCATTGGGCTCGCGGGGGTTAACATGGGTAGGACAAAACAATAACCGCCCAGACCTGCAGCACAGGAAGCCCTCATCCAGCAGTAGATTTACACAAAGGGGGCCTTTCCAGATTCACCACCACCCCCCCAAACCCCCCCAGCCCCCCCCCCCCCTACTACGGATGTGTTAATTACTACGGATGTGTTAACCATGAAATAAGCGCCGTCCGCCAAAGATCTTTAGCAATGGAATTCCATATAATCGCAAACATGTACCCAAAATGCTCGTCCGGAAAAAACCAAGCGGCAAAGTCGCCCTCGTAGTATGACGACGCATTTTGCTGCGCTGCCCTCTGCTGACCAACGCTGTTGGGCGAGCAGCAGCTAAAAACAAACTCCCGTTTATCTTCTTGGTTCTTTCGGTAAAGTCACGTAGAAGGGACATAATAAAATAATAAAAATAAAACATAATAAAATAATTCTCATTCAGACGCTGTCTCCCCGACAGACCTGGTCTTCACCTGAGGACGGCTGCTTGCGTTCTGGCGGAAACGTCGTGAGAATTATTTGATTATGTTTTATTTTTATTACTTTATTATTTCCCTTCTACGTGACTTTACCGAAAGAACCAAGAAGATGAATCCCTACAGTCACGAAAGCTTTAAATCGAAATTTAAACTCCCGTTTGTAGGCTTGGCGGTCGCCCATTCAAGCGGCACCAGTGGAAAAATCTTAGCTTGGTTGATGAGATGGGGCGAGTTTCAAGGTGATTTCGTTGTAAACTCCGAATGAAAACTTTGCTTCCGTCCCCTCCGCACTTTGAGCGATCGTGCCCTCATCGCTGTGCTTTGACCTTAGCCGGTCTCCATTACAACTGGTGCACTACTAACAGGCACGCGACCAAACACGCCCGGAACGTTACCACATTCTATTGGAGGTTGGCCGCATCTTTAAACAATCGACTTTCGTACGCGTGCCCACTGTTACACACGTGCATCGTTACGCTCGCACGTGCATCGATACCCGCACACCACACCGAGAGAAAGAAAAATAATAAGACATCTTTTAACCAAGTTCAGTGGTTTTAAAGCAGACTTAAAAAAAAAAGAAAAATACAACTCCAAATAATTTTCTGCTCAAATGATTACTGGGGCATTGGTTGCTCATCGCCAGTTTACAGCAGTGGTGGATTTCCAACGTTCCTACGTGCGTCCCTAGGTCGAGTGGACCTCTGCCAACTTCTCCCCTCCACAAAGTGTGGTACTAATTTTATTGACTCAGGAGGGATGATGATGATGGGCCGAGTCAACCACCCCCCCACCCCCCCAAACTGGATTTGAACTCGCAACCTTTCGGTTGCGAGCCACTCGCTTCTACCGCTGAGCCACGTGGCCGACCACTTCCGAATGAAAATCCGAAGGTGAACGTTTCCGGCGCACAGCCCCACAGCTCGAGTGGCCGCGTCACCGCCACACCCCCTTCATCATCGTCGTCACGCGTGTCTCACAAACGGCCCTCCCCCCGGGTGGCGCTGGTGGAGCGGGTGGCGCGTGGGTGGCGCTGGTGTCACGTGAATACATGCGTCGCTCACCATTCCGTACGTGGGCAGCGGCTGGCTCACCGCCGTCGGGTACGCCATCGTTGCGGCGCCCTGCAACAACAACACAACCACCATCACACAAGGGGAGGAAGGAGACGGCGGCAATGAGATGAGGAAGAGAGCAGGAGGGGCGCAGACGGGACGGAGAGAGCTGCCCGCCCGCCACTCTCTCCGCTAGGCCGCCTCTGACTCACAGCAAACAAGTCCAGAGAGGTCTCGCAAGAGGCAAGGATAACCGCGCAAATTCAGAAGCGTTAAAAAAAATAGCCGGAACGCAGCGGAAAGCTGATTGGAGCTGGGGAAAAAAATCAATACGTAAACAGACAGACGACGCGGGCGAATAATGCCGAGCAGAGGTTTTCACAGTTGTGCTCTGTAGCCCTGCGAGGCGTTTGCGGATGGTCTGGGCGTGTTGTCCGGTACGTTGTCGCTCCACTTGGAGTGTAACGGAGGGGGCCGTCATGCGGAAACGCCACGCGGTACGAACGGAAAAACGCACTGGATTAGGGGGGTTGGTGAATCTGGCATCACGGCAACGCGAGAGCCGCGGACTTTAGGCAGGCAACAGCACTCGGAATTAGTAGAATCACAGGGCATCCCCCCCCCCACGCACATCCCCATCTTGATTAAGGGGGAGGGCAGCAGCAGAGAGGAACACGAAATAAATTGAAACATTTAAATCACACGAGGCTGGTGGGTGGGTGGGGGGGTGACGGAGGCGTCATCATCCTCAAGTCTAAATAAAGAGTCCGATTCTGAAACACGGGGGAGAGAAGCAGCGCACGGTGCAGCCGTGCACGGGGGAACAACGCCGGCTGCCGACAGCGTCAAACACAAACGCCGCAGCCGCCGCCATCACCTAGAAAATCGCGATGGCCAGGGGCGGCCGCGCTCGGACCTGCGCACGGCTCTGGCGCGCCAGCGTGTCCTTGCAGCGCCCGGCGAGTTAGGATTAGGGGTATGCGCAGCACTGCACACCGATTGGCCGGTTACGGAGAGCACCACCGACCGTCCCTCCACCACTAAACCGACACTGCCGCCACTCCCTCACAGCTACGCAACCGTGGAAGACACCCCCCGCCAACCCCCCTCCACACTCCACTTAGGCCGTCCATGGATGCATCACTGCTGCCTGCCTACGGAACCTGAGACACCACTAACTACGCCGATCAACTTACAAGCGCTCAACGCACTACCTTCCTTTCGTTAGAAACTCCTGCGCCACACTTATTAACGAGCAAACTGCGAATACGGATGCCAGGCGCGTCGCAACATTGACATAACGATGCCCAATCCACACTGCCCACCGATTGCCCCAGACTTTGTAGGTTTAACGGGATCTACCACACACTGTACTCCCCTCCACGCACTCTCCTGCCTCTCCCATCTCGTCTCACTCTACTCCCCTCCACGCACTCTCCTGCCTCTCCCATCTCGTCTCACTCTACTCCCCTCCAAGCACTCTCCTACCTCTCCCATCCCATCAATTGCATTGTACCCGGGTGTCTACACACATTGCTCCTGATCGTGACTTTTAAAAGGCCCTCGTCCTCACTGACAGGAGCTTCGAACTAGTTTTGTGTTTTCTCCTCCCAACAAGCCAAACGACATACATTCACGGAATCAGCAAAAAACTCTCAATGCAGGAGGACCCTCCTGAGAACAAGTCTTCAGACATGTAACCTAGGTGACGCATCAACAAGACAATGGCTTCTAGATTTGAAGCTTTCGTGACTGCAAGGATTCATATTCTTAGGTTTTTTCGGTAAAGTCACATAGGTACATTTTTTTTATAAAAGTAAAATACAAATAAAATAAAAATCACGACGTTTCGGAGGCAACACAAGCTTCCGTCTTCAGGTGGAACCGTCACAGCACGATAGCTGTATCAAGTGAGAGAAATTCCAACAAAACAGTCCTTGTATATATACTGGTTGAGGGTGGGAGGAGCCAAGGTAGGCCCTGAATATTATTTTTTGTGAGGTTCGGTGCGGCTGAAGCACGCTGTTAGGAATGAGACAAAGGCTGTCTCTTTATCCTTGAAAACCGGGGGGCAGCAATCGGGGGGGAGGGGGGGTCGATCGGGGGGCGATCGGTGCCACAGGCGTCGTCCGTCGCCAGTGCCATCGCCGGACCTCCTACTGGGTTCGCCTTCCGCCCCCGTGGTTAGTTCAGGTGATCAGGTGATTCGCTTCAAGACAACACAGCAGGATCATAGCGGTGGGGGAGGGGCGGTGTCGGGGGCGATCGGCGAGGGTTGGCAGCAAGCGGGGTAAGGTCAGACTTACATACGGCGCGACGCCCCATCCGTTCTGCAAGGGGAACACAGAGCAGGGACAACAACCCACAACAGTGTCGTGTTAGCCATAACCGGGCAATTCGCGCCGGCCCCGGCCAGCCCCCCCCCTCCCCCGTCTGCCCGAGGTCGCGCACCGCTCGTGTGCAACAACAGGTCCTGGCAGCGTACGTACGCACGCGTGCGCCTGTACATACGTACGGGTGCTTGGTTGGAAAGAGAGTTAAAAAGAGTTTGCTTGAGCGTTGTGGCCAATCGCTCCAACGACACTCCGTGGCCGTCTGACATGTTGCCGAATCGCCCCTGGCCAGGTTCACCCCGATGCCTGCTGTATATTTGGAGTGTGCGGTGTCTCTCTCCCCCCCCCCCCCCCCGTGGTGGCGTAGATTTTTCTCCTCCTCCGGTTAATCTGCTCCCAACATTTGCAATCCACATCACCACGCGTTTCAGAGCTATTTTGGCTGCTGTACATCGCCACGCGATACGCCGCTTCGCCGAGTCGTCACTTGTGATGCCACAGGTCGCTTCTGAAAAAGAGTTAAATAGCTCAGTGGGGCCTTACACCTGCTAAAATAAAAATGGTGACTTTAGTAAATGTGGAATTTCCACCACTGGCCCGGGGGAGGTGAACCGGCGATGAGTGCCGGCCCCAGTCTTGTTCAGAGCGATCGAGAAGTCTCCCTCCACCCCACCCCACGGTTAACGCCGGGAGCAGCTCACAGCTCTCTCTTCACAACCGCCTCGATCTCCGTCCCCAGGGATGCGGACGTTAACAATCGATCGCCTCCCACGCACCGCTCTAGCGGCGCGGGAGAGGCATTGACGGTTCGCAGCGCCAGCACAGTAAGTAAAAACAAAAAATCATTTACTCTCCATCTGCCCCGCACATCGATCGCTTGGCTCTTTGCGGCCCAGGCCGTTTGTCTGGCACAGGATAATTACCGCGCAAAACCGTTCATTTAGCGTCGCTCGCGCGGCGGGTCGGGATGGCGCTGCGGTTTGGACGCTTGAAATCTGTAACCCAGGTGTTTTGGACGAGCGATATTAACGCACAAGCGGATGGCAGCGACACGCGCGATGGCGTCACGGGGAGGTGTGGGCGCACTTCGGCCAGAAAACGCAAATTACTTTCAGCGCAGGTTTTATGTCACCAAGTTTTGTGGCACGAACCCTTAAGAACAATTTGGCCAGGTTTTAAAAGGAGAGTCCCGAATAGACACGCGAATTTACACTCAAATATTGTTACTTGAAACCGTCTTCAGGAGAGTTATCGTGTCTCCGCTTTGTAGACGGACGGAACTAATGCACGAATGCTTTCAACCTTAATTGGAAAGTAAAAAAGAAAACATTATCATACCGAGCTGTCGATGGGAGGGAAGGACGGAGGGAGGAATGGAGGCAGGGAGGGATGGATGGATGGAAGGGAGGGAATGGAGGAAGTGAACGGAGGGAATGGATGGAGCGGATGGAACGGAGAGAACGGAGGGGAGGAGGGAGGGAGTCGTACCTGTGAGGGGGCAGCAGGCACGGACTGGGCCCAGGTGGCGGGGGCCGTCATGCGCGGCTGCCAGTTGTGTCCGCCCGTGAGCTTCTTCTCACCGGCGGGGGTCCACTGGTGCTCCCTGCGGAGACGGAGAGAGCAACGATCAACACAACACGAGGAGGTGCGGATATCGCTACCTGGGGGTGAACAAAGCGTGGCCCTGGGATTACATCCCACGCGGTAGACGTTCGGCCGGCACAATTAACCCTCGGTAAACTTTGGGGCAGATCAACTTTGCTTGCGAAAAAAGATAATTAAAATATCTCCACGCCCACGCTTGCTTTCTCATTCTGATCTGCTCCTCACCTCGCCGTGGGGTTCCCGTGACTAGGAGCGGACGCGAACGCAAAAACGCCGGAAAGGCAAACCGACTGCTTGAAGAATAAAACCGGTCGAGACCTTCGCACCCGCTCTCTCCACCATCGCGGGGCGGTGACGCGGGCCAAGTGGCGGCGCGTTTCCCCACTTGTTGTAGGGGTTCACACGGGTTCGAATCTAGTGGCCTCCCTGGTTATTGTTATGATTGCGGTGTGAACTAACCGTAGTAATAATGGTATTACTATACGCCGTCCGTTTCACTCGGTGGACGTCCAAGACGTCCTGGACGTAATGAGCAAGAGCGGGCTATCGTGGCAAAATGACTCGCTTGGTATTCTACAGGGTGCTTCAAAACAATGTAACACTTGGGGGGAGAATTTGCAACAACACCACAAGAAATCTGCCTCCGGGTTCTGGAGACCACCGGGAGAATATTCCAGGCACTCGTTGACAACGATGGCGAACAAGTGGAGACGCTTTGACTTTTTTAAGCTATTAACATTACATTTGTTATCATGTTACAGTGCATTATCCGTTCTCTTTCCATTAAAAACGATAGTCTCATATAAGTGTTAAAACATTTTTTAAGCACCATGTAATATAGTAGCAATCATTGCCCCCCCCACCCCACCTCCACTGGTAGACTAATAATGCCCCCCAGGTCACTTGCAAATGAGACGCACCCTGATCTCTCACCTTGGGTGACACGTATAGGTAAAAAATAAAGCATGCCTAAATTATGTACGTGTTGACTTATCTGTGTTTGCTCGTTCTATCCGGGCCACCCGTCCTCCTCTGTTATACCGCACGTGGCCAGGTGACCGAGCTATGCAGCCCACATGACATGCGAGTAATGAGGCAGAGCGCGCGTGCAAGCCTCCATAACGGGTGGTGCTCGTAACACGCACGCACCAAAGCACGCTGCCAAGACGAACACACGGACCACACAGGGAGGGTTTGTTTGAGAGTGCACGTTGTGCTCAAGTGTGCTGTCAAAAACTCACTTTTTCCCTGCAGGGTTCATGGCTAAGTCTGTGGAGCGCACACACGCACGCGCACACACACAATGTTAATTGTGTGAGCAAACAAGGTAGGATCTTTATCTTATCACAGGACAACATTGCTAATGTAAAATGAATAAAACCACTGCTCAATGAAGGCCACCACCACATGTTGTGCCAACCTTTGGTGTTGTTAGACCGTACTTCACTGTGCCGTTTCATATGTGCTGACGAAAGGTGCCAGTCAGATATCACTCGTCACTGATGTGCGCCGTGGCCTAGGATTGACCTCGGATCACGGAGTTTACAGCATCGTGGCGGACTAACCACCGCACCGCCGCTCGACACTGGTCCGGAGTTTGGTAACGGAGAGAGGAGGTGCTGCAACCCACTGCCTGTGACGACTGCTCGCCACGATCGCCACGCGATGTCCCTGGCGCACTGCATCTTTTAACTGTAAATCGGGAGCTTTATTTCTCCCGCAAAAATCCGATGAGCAATGAAGCTCTTTTTCACGTAATGTCCAGCAGATTACGGGCCGAAAAGTTACCACAATACAAAAAAACTATGGGAGTGCAAAGTATAGGAAAGGTAAGCAAATCACTAAAATAAATATACTTAAGCTTAAGTAAAAGTGCAGCTCTGTTATCTCTCTCACGCCACTGCTGGCAGAAGGGCCTCCACTCGCTCGAGAGAGCACCCCTAGGAGGATAATTGCCCTGCTCTTCCACGCGAGCCAGACAGCTTGGAAGAGGCAGTGGCGTACCCACACTCCACCCCATCGCACACGACCTGCCGATCGACTAAACGTGGTCGTACCCATTTGTACCGCAGGGTGCTTGTAGGCTCTGGCGCGCTTATCGGTCCCTAAGCAAATCGAACCGGCCGCCTCCGCATTGCAAGTACAGCGAGCTAACCCACGGCATCAGCCGGCAGCGGGTCTACCCTGCATCAAACTGCACCCCAGCACAATCTGGGCACCAGCAAACAACGACAGCGGAGGCGGTTGCTCTCCACACAGTCCCCGCAGTGGGGGGAGGTGGCGCCGCGCGTGTGCGCCACGTGCGTGTGTGCCCTGTGTCCGCGCCACGTGCGTGTGTGCCGTGTGCGTGTGCCGTGTGCGTGCGCCACGTGCGTGTGTGCCGTGTGCGTGTGCCGTGTGCGTGCGCCACGTGTGTGTGGCGTGTTTGTGTGCCACGTGCGTGTGTGCCATGTGCGTATGTGCCGTGTGTCCGTGCCACGTGCGTATGTGCCGTGTGTCCGTGCCATGTGCGTATGTGCCGTGTGTCCGTGCCACGTGCGTGTGTGCAGTGTGCGTGTGCCGTGTGTCCGCGCCACGTGCGTGTGTGCTGTGTGCGTGTGCCGTGTGCGTGCGCCACGTGTGTGGCGTGCGTGTGTGCCACGTGCGTGTGTGCCGTGTGCTTGTGCCGTGTGTCCGTGCCACGTGCGTGTGTGCCACGTGCGTGTGCCACGTGCGTGTGTGCCATGTGCGTGTGTCACGTGTGTGTGGCGTGTGCCCCGTGCATGTCACAAGTGCGCGCAGTGCGCGCGGTGCCACGTGCGCGCGTGTGCCAGGCGCGCCCTTACTGCCGACGAGGTTTGCGAGCGACGAGTCGAGGTCGTTGGGCGCCAGCATGGCCGCCTGTTGCGAGGACATGGGCGCCGATGACTGTGCGGGCGCCACCACCATGGGCTGCAGGATGTCGCCTAGCATCACGACACCTGCCGGCGCCGAGGGGGCGAGGGGCGGGCGGTCAGCCGGACAACAAGACGCAGCAGCGAGGGACCGGCTTGTACCGATTCGGCCCCTCGTAGCTAATTCAATTCAACATTCGGTTCAAGATTCGTCTAAGCAACCGATTTTTTATCGTCGTTTTTAACGTTAACCAATTAAGGTTGAAAGCGTTAAGAATGCATTAGCTCTGTTCGTCTCTCTGTAACGAGTGGGGAGGTGGGGGTGGGGGAGAAGGTTGCGGTAGGGGCATGATAACTCTCATGATTTGATGATCAAATACGAAGGACACTCGAGTATAAATTTGTCCGGCTGTTCGGGACTCGCCCTACTGCGAACCGGGCACGTGAATCAACGCACTGCCTCCAAACTTGGGAGACAAAAGCCGATAATCGAACACTCGAAAAGGATTTGGCTCGGCGTTTGTGATGATCGATGTCATCGCGACACGTGGCTCGAGAGGTGAAGTGCTTTATCGCTCGTCCAATACTTCCGAGCACAGCCGCACATCGGAGGGATTTATAGAAATCCAAGCGTATTCACGATTTCTATTGCGTGCCACCGGCGTAGCGCCACCGTGTGGCCATTCAGAGCTCCCACGGAGTTGTGCATCAAACCCGCATTCCAGAATGGCCAGGAGAATGAGATATCTCAGAACCTCTTAACAACACACGAGGAGGAGAAATGGGAGAGGTGATGAGAAGTGGGTACTCTGGTTTCTAACCACACGAAGCAAAATAATCTGCTTACTTAAGACGAAGAATTGGTCAAACATTGCAATGGTAGCACGGGAGCATCCGGGAAGAGTCCAAGAGACTCGGCGAAGCTTTCCGAGGTGAGCGAAAGACATAAAAATGGAGCTGGGACAATTGGTCGATTAAAGGTGATTGACTAAAATCATGGTGGCCACACCTCCCGAAGGTGGAAAACCCCCCGCCCCACAAAGCCACGCTCAGCATGACGCGGCCGACAAAGCGGATTATGTCACCAAGCACGCGTCCCATCACTTCCCGTCCAGCGGCACACTTGGGAAGGGGTGAGACTTGTGTCCCCACCCCCACTCGCCCCACCCAACTATCTTCACATTGTCCGATTAATCGAGCAATCGGAGTGGGAATCGATGATTGGAAGGAGCCAATTGTCCTGAGATTAGCGAACGACGCCGCAAGCAACCGACGACGTCGCTAGGAATGGGCCAAGAAACGCGGGCGAGCATTCTGGGGAGCGGTGAACGCGCTCCCCGCCAGGCCAAGCTTAGTAGTACGTGTGGGGGTACACGGCATGCGCGTGGTGGTGGGGGGGGGAGCGGGGAGCGAGGAGTTAACGGCAAAGCGTTTCGCGGTCGTGGGGGTGCGACCGCGGGGGGGGGGGGGCGGGTGAAACGCGGTGAAACGCAGCGGGGCGCAGCGAGGAGGAAAACGCCGAACTCACCCGGCCAGACAGACACCGCGAGGAGGAGACAGGCAGGGTTGGGAGTTGGGAGGCCCCCCGAACCAAGGGAGAGAGGGGAGAGAGGCGGTGTGGGTGGGGAGGGGTGGCAGAGTGAGAGAGAGAGGGAGAGAGGGAGGGAGAGAAGCAGTCACGGGATGAGAAACCACCCGCGGGTACGGCCCACGCGAGAGCGCCCTCCGCCGCCCCCGGGCACTGCATGCAGTGAATGGGTTACCGCCGCGAGCCCCCGCTTTATCTGCGACGCACAAACACAGGCAAGTCAACGGAAACAACAGGGGCAGCAGGACAACCGATTAAGCGCTTGAGCCTCGGAGGGGAGGGGGCTGTCCGGCAAGCGATCGGCAGCACTCCCAGATCCTCAGGGGCTCGCTGCCGCCACCACCACCATCGCCACGGTCACCATCGTCAAGGCATCGCCACTTAGCCGAACATTAACCGGCGACACGTTTCTGCGACACCGTCGGTTGGATCTTGACTTAAAGCTTTCGTGACTGCAGGAATTCAAATTCTTTAGGTCTTTCGGTAAAGTCACGTAGATAGGTTCAAAGCAAATAACAAAAAACTACGACGTTTCGATCGCAACACAAGCGATCGTCATCCTCCTGATGAAGATCGCTTGTGTTGCACTCGAAACGTCGTAGTTTCTTTGAACCTACCTACGTGACTTTACCTGAAAGACCCAAATAATCCCGTCGGTTGGGGCGAGCCTGGTGACGACCATCATCGAGGTGGTGGTTCATTCATTTGGCTGCTTTGGTGAGGAGCTGTTCGAAGAGTGCCTGAGAGAACCCGCTGAGATTTGCAGAGCTGGAACTGAGAGCGTTGCAGTGTGGAGATCGGCCCTGAAAGCTGTACAAATAGAATTTTTAAAATTCCGAGCTTTCATCTCTATCGTCCGCTTAGCGGACGTACGATCGCAGCGTTCACAGCTGTTGTGGTCTCCAGCTTCCCCAAAGACGCTCGGGTCAATGGTGGGGGGGGGGGGGGGGGGCGTGCTGTTTCAACGCGTCTGCACTCGTGAGCAATTCAAGTCTGAAAGGTAAAAGGTCAAGGTGCAGCTCTGAAACTACTTGTTCACGCCGATGCTGGCGTGAGCAAGCAATCGCCGGATGCAGGAGCGGAGGGAGGGCAGCTCGCGTTGGGAGCCTGGGAGTGCCGATGCCACGGACGCATGCTAGACGGGGTGGGGGGGGGGCTTGCTCCATGCTCGTGCGCCACATTCCACGGTGTTGCGCTGCGCCGCGTGCTCGGTGTGGCCGGCGGGGACGAGTCGTGCCGGCGGCGCCGAGTTGGTTACGCTGTGGGGGCTTGTTTCACTGCGAGTTTGTTACACTTGGTGCTTTTGCTGTGTGCGCGTGCCGAGCATATGGATGAGTGTGTGCAAGTGAGGCGCACCGGTGAGCAAGCGCGTGGAAGATTGTGAGCGCGTGTATGGATGAGTGAGAGCGTGTAAGAAATTGCGAAGATTGTGAGCGTGCGAGCGTGCGTGTGCGCATGAGTGAGAGAACGTGCGAGTGCGCAAGCGAGTGTACGGATGGGAGCGAGTGAGTGTACGGATGGGCGCGAGTGCGAGCGCGAGTGCGAGCGCGTGTGTGCGGTTGAGTGAGAGCGTGCGAGTGCACGAGCGTGTGAGTGTATGGTTGGGTGCGAGTGCGTGTACGGATGGGTGCGTGTGCGAGCGCGTGTGTGCGTGTGCGGTTGAGTGAGAGCGTACGAGTGTACGAGCGTGCGAGTGTATAGTTGGGTGCGAGTGCGTGTGTAAATGATTGAAGGGGCGACCGCGGTGATGCTCGGTGCCCGGTGCCGCCACCCCCCCACCAGCGCTCACCGCTCGAGTCCAGCGCGTCCTTGTTCGCCGCGCTCTTGTTCCCGAAGACAGCGTCGAAGTCGGTGTGCAGGCCGCCGGGCGCCGCCGCGGACACAGGCGACACGGCCGTGGGGACGAACGACCCGCCGAACCCTGGGGGCACGTACGGACGCACGCGCCGCCGAGTCAGCCCCACAACGGCCGGAACAATCACGCACTGAGAATATATGCTCACTCGCTCGCTCGTTAGCAATTAAATTGTTGGATCGTATGTCCACAGTTAGAATCAACAGCTGATTTGGACGCGGATAGCAAATCAGCAGTCACTCGGTATTTATAATTCGGATCAATTACTGCAATCACAATACGCTCATTGAACGGTGCCGTGCAAGAATCACCTACTTTAAAATCATACAACTTCGATGCGAATGTTTTTCCTTGACGCTAATTTAATGGTCTAAGCAAACGCGCCAAAACTGGAGAGAACAAATGAAACGGACAGTGCGCGCAACACAAAGGAAGCGCAGATGAGACAGTGCCAAGTACACACTAATTAAAGTTCACGCAAGATAGTACGAGACGGTACAAACTAGACGGGCAGTATAAACGCCACGTGACGGACGGGACCGTGTAAACGAGACGAAGGAAACGGGACGTACAAAAAGGAGAGAAAGGTACTTCATTGGTACAAATCTGCGACTGAGAATCATGACAAATGGATAGGGGGGGGGGTAACCAGATTAATTCTCTCCATCTGGCATCTATCCTCAAAACCTAGAGTCGATATCCATGACAGGCTGCGTCCGTTCCCATCATTCGCGATCTCCGGCATCTCCCGCGGACGGGTCTCGGCCAAACCGCTTCACATGGTCCCCAGCAACTCGATCCCTTTTCCTCCTCTTCCCCTCCCCCAACCACCACCACCACCACACCTCCTCGATCCTTTCCACCGTCTCCCGCGGGGCGCGATGAAATACCCACGTCCCTGGGAGCGCGAGCGGGTCGAGAGAGCGCCGGTTGGGATTTACCCAAGAAGGGATTGAGAGAGGAGGGGGCCGGAGGCAACGGAGCGGAGTAGGTGGCGGGAGCCGCGCTCGACACCGCGTAGTGCTCTCGCGACGACACGCACGGAGCCTCGGCGCCGCACGTCGCTAGGCCCGGCACAGCCCCGGCACAGCCCCGGCACAGCCCCGGCACAGCCCCCGGCACAGCCCCCGGCAAAGGGAAGGAGGAGCCAGGTCCCGCCGGGAGGAGAGAGAGAGAAAAGTTGAAGAGAAGAGAAACCATACGGGGGTGAGAGAGTGGCAGACACAGGGTATAGGAGGAAGAGAGAAAGAGTATTTTCAGGTGGAAGAAAGAGGGAGGGAGAGACAGAGAGACGAAAACAAGGCAGAGGAGCAACACGTGAGTACAAGTGCTGGAACAAAAGTCAAGTCAGACATGAAGAGAGCTACAGGGTGTGAACAGAGCTATGGACAAGGAGAGCAGCATGCACCAGATGCATATCAGGGTCGTGCACTGACCAAGGCTCAACGGGGCAGTCCCGATAATCTGCCCCGTGACTTTCCAGCATGCCAGCGTGGTGGTTGTGGTGGCCCACTGCGTGAATGCCCGGGGAGGGTCATTCACGGAGAGGACAGTGCCAACACACGACGCACCCGCTCGCCCACAAAAACCGCGGTGGGGTTTAGTTCTAAACCGCGCTCTCTCGTGCGTTCGCCCGGGACGAGCTTCCGTTCCGGTGTTGGCGCTGCCGCCGTGCGCGCCGATCGCATGCCGTGAAATCGAGCCGTGTGTCGTGCGCTGCCACCCACCATCGTACGAGTAAAGGCTAATGGAAGTGGGAAAGTCTTCGGGCCTAGCGGTGCGAAACGGCGACCCGAACACGTCTTCCCACAGAGAGCACGCAGCAGCGGAGAGAGCAAGTGAGGAGGAGGAGGAGGAGGGGGGGGCGGGGGCGAGGCACACACAGGGGACACGCGAGTCAACATGAAGAGGTGGCACCCACCCCCCTTGGGGGTGCCGCACTGTCATTGCTCACGACGATGTCAACTTTCACAACGAGGGCCAGCTCCGCGGAGATGTGCATCGTCGTCGCGTGATGCCAGCTCCGCGGATATGTGCATCCGCGTCATGAACTTTTGCTGCGGCGGTTTTCTCTTTTTCGCTCTGCTGCGCTTTTGACTGGAGCTTACTTAACTTAACATGTATTCAGCAGCAGCAGCTATAAACTAAACGACTGAACTAGTTTTTATTTCACTCAACGTTGCGCTCTGAAATCCTGTAACGCTTCATGTGCATTTTCTGCCAACCGTACAATGAGGAAATAATTAAATAACGAACGGAACTTACTATAACAATGATGAGATCACGCAACCACCACGTCATCAATTACTCGCGGCGAACCGTTTTGCAAAGCACTCGTTTAAAAAGCACGGGCAATATATTTAGAACTTCGCCTACTGTGTGTGTGCGTGTTGTCATTTCATGAAGAGTTATTTGGTAAATAATATAATAAAATTAACACGCTATGACGATGCTTTGGCTCGTCTCGTGCGGTGCGCTGTCGCATTGTCGCCGTATCGTGGCAGCCCTGGGCTTGTCAGGGATCATCTTTTTGGCATGCTGCATATAAAAAAAATGAAATGACAAATCATGACATTACAAAATGCTGTGAAGCGGATACGATACGATCGCGTTTCTTACAGTAGCGGAACGTTGTGGCAACTCTGCAAATTGGAATATTTATAGTGTAGGAATCCAATTAGCTGTAAAGCTTTTTCACACATGTCCAGTAGGGGGGCGGGTAAGAATGCCACAACAACAAATAATACAAAAACACGATAGGAAAGGTAAACAAATCACCCAAACGCATACAAATACAAATAAACCATTCCCATCCTACCAGGCAAAGCCCAGAGGTATTCACTTATTTTTCAGAAGAAACCTGGCCACAGATGACAGCTCAACAAAGTGGCCAATCATTTGGACATTTAGAGCACCAAAATAATGTCCCGAGCATGCGGCACAATCATCCACATTGGTTCATGGATGAAGGTTAATCATCATCATCATCATCAGCATCGTCGTCACGATCCATGGGCAGATAGCCCCGGAGGTATACCCACTGCACATTTCGTCACTTGTTGTTTCCACTTTTCTCTTCTATCTTGTAGTGCCAATATGCTCAAGCAGTGCTTCCCAGTAGAACCGGTCTAGAGGTGGACGGTGGTTCAGAGAACGCTGAAATTCCACCGCTGGGAGATCCTGGGGATGAATCTGGGTTTCGGCCGCCCGTGCGGCAAGTTGACGGTCTCTCACCCTGGTCACCAATGACTGCACACGTAATTTTAGCTCTGATCAACATGTTACGGGCATTAAAACGTGCGATGCTCGTGTGGATCACGAGGTCTGTTGAAGTGAAGCCTAGAAGTAGTTATGTAAAGTCATCTTCCCAAACCGATCTCTGGCAGGGCGATGATGCACTGCTAGCGGCACAGTATTGAACGGAAAAGTCCTTCGTTTACCAAAATCCCTGGAGCACAGCTGGAAAGTAATTGGGGAATAAAGCAAAATATAAATCAGAAAAAAGGCTTGGACTGATGGCAGGCCTGCACTGGTGCACCATCATCATCAGCCTACCCTGGACACGCTTGCCATCTCAAGGGATCATCCAGGCGAAATATATAGAATTGGTGGAGTCGCTGCCCCCGCAAGCCAATTAAGTTTGAAAAAGCGGGTCGATATTTATTGATTGATAATTGAAAATCATCACACTTGCACGATGCATCCACGTTCCAATCACCAACAAATCCACCTCCCCCCCGTAGCTTTCGGGGTGGTACCCGAAAAGTTCCCCTCGAGTAAGTCATTTCGTGCCGAACAACACGCGGTGCAACCCGAAAAAAACATCGGTGAGATTCTTACACGGGAGGGGTGGGGGAGAGCACATCCGTGCACACCGACGTGGCGGTAAATAGTCCAACTCCCCCCCCCACCCCCCGAGTGGCTATTGCGTCATCCTCAACCGACAGCGAAGAGCCGCCACCAACACGGAGCAGCAGCAAGCCACCGACACGCTCCGCACGCGAGGGCCGTAATAAGCCTCGGCGCGACGACGCTCCCCGTCAAAGCGCTGAGACAGGATACGATGGAGCAGCGGACCCACTTTCCGTTTCTTAAAGCGCGCGTTAGGGAACTACGAGCGGGTCGATGACGACGTTCAAACTTGTTCATCCGCGAGAGTCGGCGGGGCCTGGGTCGGACGCGTGGACGGCTCGAAGGGACGATGGCCGAC